TAATTTTGTGTGGCAAAAAGTAAAATACCTTCGCACTGGTGCTTCTAGCCCCCAAACGGTATCATTGCTCTCTGTGTAACAGCAACTAAGCACAGCTTTTAACCAGATTATTAATTCTTTTATTTTTTTAGTTTTCCAACCTTGAAAATAAACTATTTTTTCATTCAAGAAGATTTAAAAAAAAAAAAAATGAAACCTGTCTGTGCTGTTTTTCTTCTCTCTTTGTCTCTTCGTGTCTCTCTGCCATGTGCTTTGGGCTGATGGAAGCACGCCGCCCTCTAGTGTCCACAGCCGGACACTCATCAATAACTGTACCACGTCATACAGAGAGAGAAATGCTTACGCTTGCTGGTCTATTTGCAGACAACCACATAATATAAACACAGGCACTAAGAATAGACAGGATGAGGATTTCTTTCCATGTGTTCGTGGAAAGAGGTTCTCTAGCATTTTTATAAGGAAGCCTGGTGGATGTTTGGTCTCTGATGGTGCTCTGCTTCTCTCCTTCTTTTGTTACATGTGCTATAGGAAGAGGCCATCCCTGAGCTGGAGATAGATGTGGATGAACTGCTCGACATGCCCAGTGATGTTGAACGGGCAGCCAGGGTCAAGGTAGGACACACGTGCGCACCTGTTTCAGAGCATGAAAGATGGCTGCAAACAGCAGTTATTTCATCCTGTTTTTCCCTGTTTTGTAGGATTTGCTGGTTGACTGTTTTAAACCTACTGAGGTAAAACACAGTCCTTCTTCACTCCCCTGCTCATAAACTCCCTCTGCCTCTTCAAGTGAACGTTTCTGATGTGCATATTTGTCATTCTGAGTCCCCGCATGTGTTTCTGTCCTTGCCCTCTCCCCGTAGGACTTCGTCTCAGAGCTGCTCGACAAGATCCGAGGGATGCAGAAGCTCTCCACGCCTCAGAAGAAATGATGGCATCCTTCCTCCCTCCATCCGACATATTCCCCTCCACCTCAGCCCTCACCTCTCGTCTTCCTACCACAGCTCACGCTATTTTTTTAAAATCTTTTTTGTCTGTTTTCTTCCATTAAAGTTCATGAAATGTTGCAACTTGTTTCTGCTTCTAGTTAGACCCTCTCTTGTTGTTGCCTGGATCCAGCCCCATATGTCGCTTTTCTCTTTTGTTGTCATGTTGTTGGACTTTCTTCATAAAAACCATCAGCCAAGAAGGGGAGAAAAAAGACAAATTAAAGAGTGAATTAATTCAAAAGCGACTCATTGGTCTTAATCCAGGCATTCTCCTTCCTCCTCTTTTCCTACTCCTACCCCTCTCTCCACCTTTTTTTTTCTTTTTTTGGCTCTGCTACCCGTTCCCATCCAGCTCTACTTCCTCCCCACCCACCCCTACACCATCTTCCATCTGTCTGAGGAGGAAGAGGAGACGAGTCCCCTAATTACTGCGAGCAGAGTGACCGAGATCGAGAAGAAGAACGAGAGAGCGCAGATGCCAAAAAGACAGCGGAAGGGTGAACGAGGAGGAGGGTTAGAGGAAGGAAGAAGCCAATCAACTCGCTTCTGTCTCACCAATCTTTACGTTGCTGTTTTTGAGGGTTTTAAAGTTGACCCAGCCGCCCATTATAATTCTTTCCATACTTCCCGGTTCAATTTGAGGGCTTCACTTTAGTTTTTTTAAATTAACTCTTTCGGGGATCAGTACAGTCTTTTGCTAGTTATCCCCCTCAATCAGAGGCATTGCTGCAGTGGTGCATTTAGAGACTGTCTTTTTTTTGTGCGTGTGTGCGCATGTGTGTTTGTGTGTTTGAGAAGTCTGCACTATGTCATTTTGAGGGGAAGAAAAATCGGAACCACAAAGAATAATTTATAGTGTATCTTTAGCACGGCAAAGAGGGGAAATTTGAAGCCTGGAAAGGGTCACTGGCTTGTTTTTGGTGGTCACGGGCTTAAAAACACTGATCCTTTGGAAGCAAGTTCTCTTTAGGCTGGATGTCAAAGTAGAAAGTTTCTTTTTCCTCAAATGCGTAGATCAGTCACGAGAGGCTCCTCAGAAGCCGCTGCACATACAAACGTATGTCTGTGTCGCTAAATGCTACGTGTGTGTTGCTACATAATGTACAGCAACATTTGTCATAGGAGTGTTTTTGGGCCTGTATATTCTGCTGTTCTGTATGACAGATTAGATTTTTAGTATAGGACTGGTTCCTGTTTCGTTTGGGGGTTGGGGGGGTTCTGTTTTTGTTTCCTGGATGCATTTTTTTTGTCACACGGACACACACTGACAGTCCAACAAGGGGTCCCAAAACAAAGCTGCCTTTTTTTTAAATCACTGCCCCTAACCCTTCCATCTCATTCTCACAATTTCTCCTTTTTTCTAAAACATTAGACTAAACCATTATACTTTTTTGAGGGGGGGCGTTCAGAGCAGCCACATCTCTGACATTTGTCCTCTGCCTGACATGCCAGTGGAATCACCGCTAACATTGCTCAAATCAAAGCATGCATTTTCCTTTCTCTGTCACACACACGCACACAGCTTCTCGGGGCGGAGGAAGCGGAAACGCATCGGCAAACACAGCTGCCTCTAGCACAGATGTGCACACACACAAACACCAGGCACAGTCAGAGAGAGAGGGAGACGAGGCCATAGTCCACCGCTGCCCCCCTCCATCCTCCCGGTGCAGCTACCAATCCTCTCAGAGAATAAGCCATCTGTTTCTGATCCTGGGCCAATCAGATCAGAGACCGAAGCCCATTGGTTAACAAGAGAAGCAGCGAGATTTCGCTGTGGTTCCTGTGACCGATTGCTAACACCTGCAGTGACAGCAGACCTTCGCTGTCTGCCTCTTTCTCTGGTAGAGCCAAAAGGCACATGTGTACACACATCCCCCACTTTTCTCTTTTGCCTTCCCTCATCCCATCATCCCACAGTCACCCTTCTCTCCTCCCTCCCTTTTTCCTTTCTTTTTCATTTTTTGTTTTTTTATAAAGAGATGTTGCCTTAGGTATTATTTATGTTACACAAACCAAATAAACAGGAGACATTTTTCTTTTAAAGGGTAATGCAAGCTGCTGCCATGTGTGAGCAGACCTGCAGTGTGTGGGGAAAAATCTTGAATCTTCTGTTGGTCCTTATATACTCTTTCTTCTTTTTCTGGAAAACAAACTGAGATTCTGTTTTTTGATTTGTTGTTTTTTTTAAAGAAGTGAGTGTTTAATACTTAGGCCTTGATACAGTGATTTTTGTTTAGGTAAAAGATGTTCTTTGCATTTACCATTTGAATACTGCTCTGTTTCTATCGTGATCATGACACTTCTTGACACCCGGCCTTGGATTAACACGTAGTTGAACAAAAAGAAAAAATCCACTCAGATGCATTTTGGTGCGATTGCTTTTGCCTTCCCTGCTGGGACATTTTTGATCGGTCAGATTTTACCAGGCAAGTCCAATCAGTAGTTGAAATTTGAGTGGATTTTCATTGCTAAATCCAGGTTTGGATTATTATACCTTCGTAGACTGTTATTGACAAGTCTGTTTTGTGTTTTTTTTTTTTACTGTTGGGGAAAATTGCAAAAAACAATATATATACTGATTATTTTCATTGAGGCTAAATACAAGAGCTAAACCATGCCATTTGGAGGAGTGGTGTTCTTTAGATTTTTTTTTTTTTTTAAGACTGATTAGACCAACAAACCAACCAACAAATGTAGCAATATCAACAACAGGTCTTGTTTTTGTCCAATTTTGTTACACTTTTATGCAACTTTAATAAAAACATGTAAAATGGACATTTTTCTCTGTGTGGTATTTTATTATAGTACTTGGTACTGTTTGTTAATCCTTCTTCTAGAGCCCTTCTGCCTCACTTTGATGCCATCTTGTGGTTACTTGGTATAACAGCTACATCGTCCACCTGCTGAGAAGGTGAGGATGTCTGGGGATACCTGCAGGAATACCATCATACTTGGAGGATGGTTAATATAAGTTAAGTGAACGAGTGCATCATGCCATTCATAACTTTTCACCAAAGGTTCAGGGAACAACGAGAGCAATGAACAGAACAGGATAAATGATTTGATGTTTTAAACATTGCAAGGACGTTAGGACAGACGTTTAGTTCACGGCTCCAACATTACCCCACCAGCAAAAAAAGGAGAACTTTGGGGAAGAAATTGGGATCCTTCTCCTATGTATGGGGTTTATTTACACCATCACACCCCTGAATTACAGCGTCTTACAAATGCAAACCCAGCCTATTTGACCACACTACCATAATTAAGTATAGGGGTGCCAGAGCAGCTGCACAGTGCTGGCAGTGGAAGAGCAATTGAAAAAGAATAACAAATGGATCGTACAGTACTGCGCCCTGTACACACTATGCTAAGCTACATGTCTATAAGTATTTTATAATTAAATATTTGTCTTAGATCTCGGACTTTAAATTGTATTATCAGATTTGCGCCTCGTGAATGAAAATAAGTTCAATTATAAACCGCATTTTTAGAATCATATATGTAAAATTTTGATTATTTTTTATTTTGTTTTATATTTTAAAAAGCAATTTTCTCCAGTTGTAGCATTAGGTTTTTATATTATATTATATTATATTATATTATATTATATTAAAGCAAAGTCTTAGGTCAAACAGCTCCAAATCCTTGTTGCAAACAACGGGTATGCTGAATTCTATAGTATTCATGAAGAAATATGTTTGTCTTCCTTAAGTGTCCTCTTTAAATAATTACATCTATCTTCATGAAGTTGTACCAAAACACCTTATATCACCGAGACAATGTGTTTCTCACTATTATACGCACTCGCAGTGGGTTATAAGCCATCTTTCTCGCCCAAAGATAAACATTTCTTCATTTTGTGAATAATAAGGAAGACAAACTGGATTATAATTGGCTTACTGGATCTGGTTGCGTATTTCTGATTGGACAAGAGACCTTCGGGTTGATCGCTGCTATTGGACAGTTTAGTGCTCGGTCTCCGCGCTCATTGGCTGAACTTCCGGGCTTCAGAGTCCGGCAAAGTGTGGAACTAAAGAAGACTGGGACGAAGAGGAAGTACTTTTTAAAATGGAAATACAGTAAATCATACTTGAACTTTTCGCAGCGGAACAACAGGACGCGGTGAGCGAGCTTTTCTCTTGACTGTCACATTTATGGAAAGAAGGGTTATTTGTTTACAAACAGCATCGCCTACATCTGTGGACGGATAACGTTATTTGTTAATCCGTACGCTGTAGGAAGGTAGGGTCAGTATGGAAGCCCCTCCGGCGATGCTTCACTGAGTTTGATGGTTGTTTTTCTTCTACGAACCGGCACACACTCTAAGAGAAAACACTTTGCCATTAAATAAGATGAGTATTCGGACAATGTGATGAACAGGCAGTCATTCCGTCGCTGCGGGGTTTCAATTGTTAGCTAGTGTTGCACTTGACTTGTCCGTGGTGTAGTTCCCGCTAATTTTAAAAGAAAATGCAACAAAGGCGTCTCTGTTATTTTGAGGGGAATTACAATTAATTTCGCGTTCAATACAATAGGTTTCAGGCTAATTTGGGCATTTTATTTTACTCTATGCACCGCCGTAGCTGTTATAACGTACACGGTTTTACTTTGACATCCCGGAAGCTAAAAGATAAAGTTAGACCGATTGAGATGGGACTTCCGGTAAGGTAACAAATAAGACCCCCATTAATTGTTGAAGCCAAATTGTGGAGCAACTTTAAAGTGATATATCAGTTATAAACTTTTTTCTGAAGGTCTGTTTTATGAGGGATAAGCAAGACTGCGTTATTTTAGCTTGTTGTTGCCTGTATGTCTGTGAGGCCGGTCATGTCATTTCCGGTGTTGTGTTGTGTTTTTTGCAGTTCACTTGCAGGTTATGGAGGCCATACAGTAGCTCGGGGGTCCCACGTCCTCAGTCTGCTGTTAAACCTTATTCCACTCCGTCTACTGAGTAAGCAAAATTTCACTGTTATTAATCCACGGGCAGGTCTTAGTTTTAACAGCACAATGTTTTGCCTTGTTTTATTTTTTACAGACTGTAAAATATGAAATCTGACCCCTGACAATTTATGTTATTTTCAGATGTATTCGTTGTTGTAAACATCCCAGTCAGTGTTTTATATTTTTGAGTTTAATGTTGTTGGGACATTAATTGTGTGCTTATGCAGCTTTTTACATATAATTTATAACATAATTGAATTGTCCACCATATATTCTGGACAAAAATATGTTTTTGAAGTGTGATTCTTTATAAAGTCTATATTTAGGATGTGCCCTTTGGAGTTGTGTGTAGCGTAAGTCAAGAATAATTCAAACACGGATGTCAATGAAATAAAGTTTAACAGACACTTTGGTAATATATCATTATTACTATTTTCATTATTATTATTTACTTATTTATACAACTTTTTTAGAAAAATTATATATGCACCCAACAAGTAAGACTTAGCTTACATGAAGCATAATTTTCTGGGTTAAATTGCAGTACTTGTAAACGAGCTGGTATTTATAGTGGCTTTCAGCTCAATTAATTTTCTACTGCAAGTCTCATTCATCCAATCACACACACACATTCATACAGTACTTTTCTCTAGCGACTTTCCAATTGGTAGACAACCCGCTCTGCCACCTGAGCCACAGCTGCCCCCATCTACCTGAATGTTTGTTTGTTATGCCGCTTAACACTGACCTATGAATTATTCAAGAAAATTAACCTAACTCAGTTGATGAACCAGTGGTGTGTCTACACATAACAGGAAGCAGGCAAATTTGAATTTTGTTTTGGCTCAAACTGCCTTTATCTTCGAGAGAGGTACAACACCGAGTATGCAGCTGTCTATAAAGCACAGTGGAAATGCGAACACAAAAAGTAGCTTCAGATTTTCAACATTATCCCAATTTTAAAAAATGTAGCTAAAAGACCTCCAACAAAGCACAATATGCAAGAAAACTGTTCCAGCTAAATGTAGAAATAACAGACTTGTTTCATCACTTGAGGCAAAAACACATCATCGAGTACACCCAGGCTACAAAGGAGGAGATACTAGCAGCTGGTGGTGTGTGACCCAAATGTAAGCAAATGACTCCACCGAGCGCAGCTGGAGCACTCGCTGGTCGCACTCCACATGACAGGAAGAGCAAACTGTGGATGGAAATTACAGATGCAGCTACATGTGGCAGAGAAGGGTTTTAAGCAACAGGTTAAAAACTTTGGCCCAACGTACAACATCGCAGGCTGAATGTATTCTTTCATTTTATTATGTGACAATACTGTGCTATATTGTTGAGGCCATATTGCCCACCTCTTCTGCTAATGCAGTACAAACATATCTGGATAGAATTGGCTGTGTTGAGGAATAAATGTGGTCATACTAAATATTTACTTTCAAGCTTGTTAGAATTGTATAAATTCGATTTTTGCACATTTTTTTAAATAAATCGTTGCATCTATGGGCTCTGGGCTCAAGTTAAACTGCTCTGATGCCAAACTGCATTGCACCTGAATGCTTTAACACAAACAGTCTTTAGTTTTATGTGATATTTTTATTAATGCCGAACATAGTTTCCGGCTTCCATGCCCGCCCAACCGCCTGTGAAGGAGCCGGAGGAGGAGATGGAGGCAGAGGGTGAGTCGCAGCTCCCCGAGGCCAACGGAGAGGTGGAAGAACCCAGAGAGAATGAAGGAACAAGAGGGGGAGGAGCCGAGGAGACCATGGAGGAAAGTACGGAGGAGAGGGAGACCGACTTGGAAGATAGTGACGAGGAGGAAGAGGAGGAAGAGGAAGAAGAGAGCTCAGGTTAAAAAAAAAAAAAAAAAAAACTCAAAATGCTCCACTAACGTTTATACTGCTTATATAAAAAGAGAGACGCAATGTAATCGACGCCACCTTTTCTTTTTTCTCTTTGTCCTATGTAGAGATGGATGATGAAGACTGCGAGAGGAGAAGAGGAGAATGTCTGGATGAGATGATGGATCTGGAGAAACAATTCCAGGAGCTGAAAGAGAAGTAATTTTTGAAGCAGGGGGAAAAAGGGATTCAACACTTTATCCTTCTCTTTTTTCGATGCCTGAGCCGCCTGTTGTTGAGGCTGATTTCACCGTGTGATTGCAGGTTGTTTCGGGAACGGCTAAACCAGGTGAAAGTCAAGCTGGACGAGGTGCTGACGGGAAAGGCCGGCGAATACAGAGAACCGCTGGCTGCACTACAGAACAGCATGCAGATACGGACACAAGTGGCTGGTACAGAAAAATAAATAAATAAAATCCTAATCAAGTCCAATACCACTGTAGTGCAAACAACCTTGGCTGCCATTTGTCTGTAGTGAGTGTAGGCTGTCAGGATGCTGTTTACCTAACGATATAACTGACGATATAATTGTGGAAATTGGCCGACATATCCTCAGCATAACCATGTATAATATCCACAAAACTTGAAAAGAGGTTAAAACACACACACACACACACACAACACGGTAATATTATGTTGAAGCACAGTACGTATCACTCCGCGAGGCTAGCAGTAGTGATACGGCCCAGCCCTAAGTAGAGCTAACATTTGTGGACTCGGACACTTGGCGAATAAACTTTCATACAGTGTGATGTGTGATTTTTATAGCAGACTCGAGCCTAACCTTAGATGGCATGATGTTAGTGTCTAATGTCTAATCTGCTGATAATAAGGAATTGCACCAACATCGGGAATAATCAAGAGTGTTTATGCTAGTTTTCATGTGTTTGTGAGTCCTGACTTCCTTTGTGTTCTCACTTTTTTGGTGAAGGCGACACCTGCTCAGATGAAAAGACAGACATTATTCTTGAGTCTGAAGCCATGAATGACACAAAGCTCGTTCCTGTGGATTTTTAGTGGATTTTCATCATTTTAAGTTTTGGATCAGTTCCAGCATCAATTTGTTGGAAGACTTAATTTCACACAAATCAGTGTATATTTATGAGTAATAAATTTTTCCTATTAAATAACCTAAAAAAACAACAACTGACCGTACCTTTAAATCAATAAGGAAAAAGTGTGATGCCTCAAGGTAGTTGTTTACCCAGAATGCATTTCTGGTTCAGGGTCCTATTAAATATTTAGATTGTTTTGGACCCTCCAAATGCAGCACTTACTTATAGAGCATTGCTAATGTGTGTTTAACCAAACAGTAATGGAGTAGCAGTGCACATAATGCCAGTATGACCTCCTCAGACACCTTTGGCTGTCTCTTTGTGCAGGAGTGTACAGGGAGCTGTGTCTGCAGGTCATCAAACACAAGCATGAATGTGAAGTGCAAGGAGCGAGGCAGCACCTGGAGGTAGCGCGCACGTGCACTCTCAACCGCATTCTGCTTTCCTACTGGAGACTTAATATTCTCAACTAAAAGAGAACTAACGCGCTTGTTTGTATCTACACGTGTTTTACAGAGTGAGCGAACGCTGCTGTTTGACGCCATGAAGGGCGAGCTACTGGAAAAGATAAGGAGGCTGGAGGAGGACAGGCAGAATATAGACCTCACCTCAGGTACGTGTCAATCGCAAAGCTGTTACGTACACATAAAGTACGCAAAGGTTATAAAACTGAAGTACTGAGTGAAAGTGTTCAAAACAATTCATTTTAGTGGAGTTGTATAAGGTGGATTCTGTCTGTCCAGAGTGGAGCGATGAGCTGAGGGGCAAGAAGTGCAAAAGAAAGAACCTGCTGGGTCGATCTGAGAAGAAAAAGAAAGTAGCTTTGGTTTCAGGTAAGCACCACGTGTGAGGAGCCTCACCAGCGCTGATGTGTACATATACAGATGAGGAGATGAGCTCCCGTCTTATTGTTTAAGTGCTGCTAAACAGAGCGATATATATTTTTTTTTAACAGTTTTCCATAGCTAGTTTTTACCCAGATTTACTTTTCACATAGAAATTTCACGAGAACTATTATTACTTTATTATTATCTGTTTGTTGTTGTGCTGGAAGCCAAAGCAAAGACTCAGTTTTGCTGCAGACTGCTTGAGGTTTTGCTTCCACTTTGATGAGATTCCCAGTTCCAGACACAGAAGCATCCCCACAGCATAATACTTCCACCACCATGCTTCACTGTGGGGACGGGGTTCTTTGGGTTGTACTTCCTGTTTCCGCCAAAGTGCAGACATTTTTATATGGTGTGTAAATTGGAAGTTAACCCTTTATTACACAATTAAAACATATCGTCGCAGAGCAGTGGTCTGTGCTATAGCTTGATGAAAAGGTCATTTACTTGCAAGCCATTTTTGTCAGATATTTCCATTGGAAATCCTACAGAAGGCAAGAACACAACAACTACGATCAAAAGGCAGAATCATAGTTATTATTATTGGTTATATATCATTTTATATATTGTTTTTAAATTAAGCTTAGATTCAATTAGTTTCCAGAGTGTGTTTTCTTGTTTCTGTTTAGTTTTCAGTCTCAGTCTCTCAATATGACTGCCTCTGTCTCACAGGGCCTTTCATCGTCTACATGCTGAGAGACATCGACATCCTTGAAGACTGGACTGCTATCAAGAAGGTCAGAAATCACTTGTAAAAGTTCCCTTTGACTTCCCAGATTCTTCAGCTGTCAGTCGATAAAGATGCAGCTTCAGGGTGTGTACACCAGCCTGCGTCCGATCGTGTAAACAGCGTCTCTGTTTTTCAGGCGAAAGCAGCTCTGTCGCCACTAAAAAAGAAAGTTGAAAGTAAGTCTGCTCCAATCGTCTTTTATTAACGCAGCAAACTGAAAAGGTTTGGTCTCTAAACGATCCTGTTTTGTCTTTCAGAGCGGTGATGAAAGGCGGATCTGTGCAACAGCGACACCAAACTTGACACACACTCACGTTCCCAGCTATTTCCAGTTCAGGTTTTGTCTCGTTGAAGCCCAGCAGACTGTTGAGTTGTTTTTCTGCGCTTTTGATCCCACCTGCCTACCACCCTACTGCTTGTTTGTTATCTATTGCTATTTAAAAGACGTTCTTAACGATATGACAACCATGTATTTATAGAATGATTTATAATGCTGATTGAAAATCTAATCTTTTAGCACACAACCTTTTTGTCTGTCTTTTTTTTGTGTGTCAGAATCACTGAGACATACTCGGCTGTCTTGGATATGTTTGATCATATTGTGTTGTTGCAGTTGTGTGTTGTCTTGCACAAAAGTTGCTGACTGCCTGGAAGCTGGTGGGAGAGGAAGGAAAAGAAGCTTCTGATAAGCAATGTTCACATTGGACACCCAGCGACTGTGCAGAAAACACGCGTATCTGATCAAATGACATGAAACTCACTATCATCACGTGTTAATTACACCAATTAACAAATTCTAAGAGTTCATGAGCAGGACCGAATACACAGGCTGAACCATGTTTTCAGCCATCCTGACCACCGGCACATCTTTACACCATAGAAAAGGTGGCTAAGCAAACTTAAAAACGTCCAGCAGGTGGCAGAATTTATCTTTATTTTTAAAAATCTGATCAGGATCGTGACTGATTGTGAAATAAATAAATAAACTGGTTCTTATGCAGGTGGAAAATCAACATGTTTGAATGTTTCTGCTGAGCATCACCACAGGTGAGCAATTTATGTGAATGAATGCTGGGCAGCCCAGTGTGCATGAGGTTGGATTAATGCAGCTTTAAAATGTCCTCAGTTTGTTTTTGGGGGGGTTTGGAGGAGAAGCAGCAGGAACAGTGGAGAGTCAGCTACAGGTCACTGAAATGGCAGCTCCTGTGGAGGGAGACAGAAGGTTAACTAGCCACAAAACGCACTCAAAGACCAACGGCCTCCTCTCAGACCGCTACTTGCTCCTGCGTGTTCTGGGTTCAGTCTCTCTGGAAATAAAGGATCTTTTGATCTGTAATTACAAGAAGTGCAACTAAAAATAATCTTCAGATTAGTTTCAGCTGATCTTTAGGGCACCAGAGGAAATAAAAGGTGGTGACAGTGAGAAAGCTCACGATGGTGTGGTTGGGGGCAGCAGCCTAAGCAAAAAAGCCCAGAGCTCCCTCTCTGCCTCCGGGTCAGCTGAGACATCTCTCCGGGGTGTCCTGGGTCTATGACCCGACCTGAAGCACCTCAACTCAACTAGTGAATTTTAAAGCGAATACACAAGAAAATCATAAGTTCAAATCATAAATAGCTGGCACATGTAAATGTGCATCGCTTTGAGAAGTCAGTAAGGTGATAGTGAGCTAAAGCATGAGAGAGGTGGCAGGAACCCAGGCTGACCAGGTAAATATGTCCACATTTGAAACAAATACCCAAAACCCTGTTATAAAACGAAACATCTACCAACAAAGAAGAATCTGAGGAGTCAAATATTCACATCCTGGTCTGTGTACAGATCTTTAAAACTATGTCAAAAACATTTCACCTATAAAGAAAATTTATCTTTCCTCAGTTTTCTGTCGATTCAATACAGACAAAATAATGTTACATAAACTTTCTAAGAAATCGAACTAACATGCTCGTCCATACGTTGTTCCTACTCGTGTCCCTTTGCCTGATCGCAGTCTCTAGATCGAGGGTGTCACAGTGTACTGATGTGAAGTACAACTGGTGCCGGGCTTCATATTCACCTCTGCCCACTGAAATAGGACCATTTCAAATGATCTTTGCTGAAGGTGTGCCGTTCTTTGTCTTCACTCTCAGTCTAATTAACCTAACCTGCACATTTATATGCAGGTTAGTAGATCAAAGAGTTTGCATGAAGCTGAAAAAAACGCTCTAAAGGAGACATGTGGAGACCAGTGTGTGTGGGAATCATTTATTTGATGTGAGAGGAGTGAAGTTCAATTATGTGTTTACAAGGTAAAGACAGAGCTGTAGATAATGACAAAGTGCTTTCCCCCTCTTTCACTAAACTCCAGGTTAAAATCTTTCTTTGTCCTCTGGATTACATTTTTAAGGGTAGCTGTCATAAACATGGGTCTGCTTGAAGTTATACTCTCGGGTTTGTGGGAGATGGATTCAAGTTCCATCTCATTCCTTCATTTTTCCCTTCATTGTCTTGCTGATCCTTTTATCTCTCTCCTTCTTTCTTTTGTCAGACCTTCCTTCCTTTATCTAAGCTGCTGATCGGTTACTTTAAATGGGATGTTGCATCACAGTTCATGACTTCAGCATCTTCCACCTTCCCTCGTTTTTCTCACAGCTGCTTGCTGAGTTTACGCGCCTGCCTCTCCCTTGCTTCAAAGGCAGCCTTGATGTCTTTCAGCTCTTCCAGCTGCCGGCGGATTAGAGCCATGTCGAGCTGGGTGGCCTCGCACTGCTCCCTCAGGGCGGCCGACTCCGTCCTCAGCTGCGCGGCGGCGACGGAGAGCTGCTCGCTGCGTTCACGGCACTGCATCTGCATCCTCTTGGCGTCAGTGAGGAGGGACTCCACGCTCACCGCCACCGAATCGCACTGGTCGCGAGACATGTCCTGAGCGGGGATAGAGGGATGGATGGAGGTCAGGGGTCAAACCTGAATGGATCTGAGTGACGGTAAAGCTGGCGGTTGAAGGGCTCGCTCCTATTTAAATCTGAGATTTAAGGACTCAGCTCTGTTTTACAGATTTTGTGCCGTCTGATTTGGCAGGGGGCTGGAGCTTTCCTGCCAAAAACACAGATAAAGTGAATCAATAGCTGGCTGTTAAAAGTCCAGCACAGATCAACAGGTTTAAAACAGAACATTTGATCTGTGGAAAGTGAAGTAGCTTAAAGAGGCTTATCATGGCTTAGCCTGCAGTGTCCACTGCTCCTCTCTCTGTTTCGCTTTTATCCATACCCATCTCCAAAACTCGTGCCACTGTTTTGCTCTTTACAAAAACACTGATTTCTAAAATCACAGGTTGTTTTTTCTAATTAGCAGCCAAAGAGTAACAGCAAAGCAACATGTGACGATGTCTTACCACAGACTCCAAAATCAGCTTTATCTCGACCCTTGTGGTTTTCTTCTGAGACTCAGGTTGCAGGCAGGGCTCGCCGTCCTCCAGGGTGCTCTATCCTTCGCTCTTTTTTTGCTGTCAATTACAGATACTTTAAAGAAACCTCCAGCAGACCCTGCTATAGGTGCAGATGGTGGAAGTGGCTGTAGAAGCTCGTTTAACAGGACCACTGGTGATTCTTTTTCCCCTTTGAAATGCCAGTACGCTCTTCACGTCCTTCAGTTTCTGACCTGTGTCCGTCTCTCCAGTGTCTTCCTCCTCTCTTCAGTGAGGATTAGCTGTTACCTCAGGCTCAAGTAAGGTCAGGCAATCCAGAGATTAGATAGTTCAGGGTGACGTGTTGTAAGAGCAGCTTATTGGGTCTATTTTGATCAGGGAAGGGGAAAGTAGCTCATTTAGACGCTCAGCCTGGAATATCAGTTCAAGTTATGCTTTAGTCAGCTGTTGCAAGTCACCAGGAATGATTAGTTTGAGCAGTATTGATAGAATAATGCACTTTTTTAAGGTTTGTATAAAACTAGCTTTTTCAGACAATAAATATTCCCCACAGTGGTCTTAAATGTATGTTTCAGGTCTCTTCTGGATGACTGCCCTGTTTTGTTTTGACACTGATCGAACACAGCCGAGACTTTTCACTGGACCGCTGCTTTACAGAGCCGCTAGCTAGAAATCTTGGAAATTGTTTTGCAGACTTTTAAAATCTGACAGCCGGCTTATGAATCTGCGGGTAGCAACAACCAGGCTGTAGGTTGTACACAGAAACACAAAAACACTATAAACATATCCCTGATAGTGAGAACAGGCGAGATCATTGGAGCCTCTCTTCCCTCCATCACAGACACCGATCACACCGGCTTCATCTGGAAAGCCACCAGCGTCGTAGAGGACCCCACACACCCCTCACACACACTCTTCACCCTGCTGCCAAGAGATACTGGAGCATCCGGGCCAGACTGTGAAAGTTTGTTTCCCCCAAGCCGTCAAACTCCTCTTGTGTTGATTTTCTGTGACATGTAGCACCATGATCTTGGAGGAGTGCTGTCTCGCTTCACTGTGTACTGTACCACTGCACACGGTTGACAATAAAGCCACATGACTTGGTGCAAGTGAATCTTTATTTATTATTAGCCACTAGAGGGAGACATTATTCAACGTTTCCATATGCCTGTTCCCCACGACAAACATGAGCATGTCCAGAAATGTCACAAATAAAGCGCAGCATTGCAAACACACAGTCAGATGTAAGAAGCACACCTCACTGAACGTCAGGCCCGAGCTTAGAAAAGGTTAGAATTTCAATTTTTTAACGTCTAAACGTTATTTCCAGTGTTCAGCTGCAGCGTGTTTCATCAGACGGTGGCACTGTAAGCTAACTACCTGTGGTCACCAACAAATGTTTCAAGTCAAATCAAAATCAAAAGCATACTGAATCAGTGTGGATGAACCCAGCAGCAGATTTCAGCAGAACAGCCTCAGACGCTTCTTTGGTTAAAGGTTGTAAAAGTCAGTGTCACACAACAATCAACAATCAAAAAACAAACAAACAGTGAAACGTCTTCCTGTTTTTCTTTTTATTTCTTTTTAGTTTCTAATGACATAATCACCACACAGATCAATACTAAGCGATCTTTAAAGCCACGTGTTGACACCTTAAACTTGAAGACAATGCAGTGTTTTAGGATTTTACAGTCAACAAAAATAAAATGTGTTAAAAAAAAGTCTATGGCAGATTCCGGTTTTGTGAAATCAGTAAAAAGAAAAAAGTGTTTTATGTAGAAAATTCTTAGTCTTACTCGTCAAAAGTACATCTGAGCACAGTTAAATTATAAAATCAAACCTTGTGATAAACACCCTCCCGTTCGTTGGCTGTGTAAACAAACCCAACACAAGCTCGCTCTGAATAAAAAACAGATAAGTTTCTGTGGAGTCCACAGACGTAGATGTGACGCGGCGGGTGAGATGTGGGAAATGGGTAAATTCAGTACCAGCGCCTGACAGCGCTTCAGTGTTTCCAGTGTGTCCTGACACAGACAGACAGGCTCTGCATGCTTGTGCATTCAGGTGACGAGGTGGCCGAGTGGTTAAGGCGATGGACTGCTAATCCATTGTGCTCTGCACGCATGGGTTCAAATCCCATCCTCGTCGAGCGGAGTTTTGGTTTTGTGGTGCTTTATACATACTGTTAAACCCAAAATCTAATATCTGCAAAACCTTCCACGTGCATTCTCAAAATGTTGTTCACTGAAATCCTTAAAACACTTCATTTAACCTTTTTCCACACCCGCTCCCACTATTTGGTCTTATGTGCTTTTATAACCCCCTCGCTCACACCCGTTCTCACTGGAGCCTTCCAGGACGGTTGAAAAACGGCTCAGTCTCTTCGGGCGTCACACCCGTCTCCCCGAAAAGGCTTCCAGTTGGTGCGGCTCCAATCAGCTTGGACGCTGAGCCCCGACGCCTCTGGATGATCACCAAAACCCCGATGATGAGCCAGAAGAAGAAGTTGATCCACACTGCCGTCTGAGAAGGAAACAACATGACACGCAAGATGTACTGGAGGCTCTTTTACCTAAATCTGAACACATATGCTATGCTAACTTTGACTACATCTCTTTATTCGTGGGTTTTTGTAGTGTTGCAGGACTCCAGTTCATAATAATGCTTCTTTATGTTAAGCATTACAGGAGCTAGTATGTGTGGACCATGTGACTCCAGCCAAAGCATAAAATAAGTGAATGAAGTACCGACCTCGGCTTTATGTAGACTGCTGTAGAACCTCTCTCCATCAAGTGGGCTGGCCCATTTTTCAGACTGGGCTTTTTCACAACTTTGCACACAGAAAAACATTGAGCATTAGACAGTTTAAAAGAAATCCGGGGTTATGATTTAATTCATTTTGGATTTGTCTTATATGAATTTAGTCTTGATTATTGGTCACTGATTCTATGAACAAATAGAAAAACTGCAGGCAGTTTTGTAAGAGGAAGCAGTGGAAAGCTGCAGTTACATGACATCAAAGTAAGTGGAGCTCAAAACAAGCAATTAAAAACTAACAACACCATGCACGTCTTTGCTTCTCTTTTAAGTGCTCGCCCTTTCAGAGGATTACAGTGTAGCCAAGGATGAAAAACTGTGTGCTGATGACATTTTTAAAAGGAAAAAGGGCATCCTGAAAGACAGACAAAGGCCAAGAGTAAAATAACTAGATGGTTATAACTAAATCTACCTTCATATGGCTTCATATAGAGCTCTAAGAGAACGTGGGCGGGTGGGTAAAGTGAAGCTTTGGAAAGGAGAAAAAGGGGGAAAAAAAACAGAAAACACACAAAGTGACGCTCCCTAGCTTTCAAATGTTATTTTCATTTTCATATGCGAGTGTTGACGAAAGCGTTTGGTCCTGTGCCAGGTGTGGATGAGTGCAGGTGTCACCTGGTAGTGTTGGGGACGTTTTTCGTGACAGACGAGCAGAGCGTGTCGCGCCCGATCTTCAACATGCAGCCCGTGACGAGCAGGAAGAACAGGAAAACGCCGGAGACGGCAATAATCACGTTCATCCACACATTCTCCCTGTGAAGGAGGAGAAAAAACAAGCAGATAAGAGCGGGAGAACAGCACTGTGCTCTTTAAAGTGAGGCAAAACAGAAGAAGGATGTCAAACTACAAAATGCAAGCTAATGTGTGATTGTGTCGCCATGCCGTGGTATGGCACATGCATCTCTGCTTCTCTGTATCAGCTCTAAGTGTATTTGTAGCTTCTTTTGCTTATGTTGGCTACAGAGAACAATGTTTACATGCACACTTATTTTCCTGGGTAATCAATCAGTTTAAACTAAAGAAATCAGCCTAAAAGTGCACGCAGACATCTGTTAAATTCTGTCTACGAGATGCTTAAAATATCCTTTCTTGCAGCTGGCAAATCAAGCTCAAAAGAACGACACAATGACAGAGCAGGCCAGCATTTATGCAATATTTGAAGGAAAACACTGACGATTAAAATTGTTTTTAAACCCACACAAACACTGCAACTCTGTACTTTGTCGTGAAAAACACACACACAGCATGTGGTCACCTTTTGAGTTCCCCTTCGCTGCAGAAAGTGTACACCCAGTACACAGACAGAGAGAAACACACCACTGCCACCATGATTGATATGGCCGACACAAAGTAACACAAAGAGGAGGATGTGGACGACTGGACTCCGATGAGCTTGGACGTGGCATTATAGCTGACCGCTCCGTACAGCATACAGTGACCTCCGAAATTACCCTGAGTAAAAAAGAGAGACAGAGGTTGGGAGGGGGTCACTAAAAAGCTTGAGTTCCGCTTCACCGTTTCAAGCGCTTTGCAGGATGCTACAATAAGCGCATCAACGGTTGCATCTGACGTCTATAAATGAGCAGCAGGGAGCCAAATTGGGCACGATAGGCGTCTGGGTCACATGATGAGCAAAGCATCGAGGTACAGTTAAAAACCTGCGCGCGCACACGCACGTTCACAATTTCACGTGCATATCACGCATTTCCGAGCGTCTGTTAAGCTAACACAACGAACAGTTGTTGACACACAACAATGCTCGTGTGACACTTCGCTAAAAGTTTGTGGTACATTTTTCGAGAAGTAACTTCTCCGATGTCTAGAGTCCAAAACCATTAAAAATATGGAGAAATTAGAGTTGAAATGCCGAAGGTAATGACAGAGTGGGCAGAACTGGACTGAAAGTGGAAGCGCGTGTCAGTTTTTTAATCCCTCGCGCTGCTTTTAATTACCGTGTAACACCCAGAAAACTGCGCAGCTGTACGAAAACAATTATAGTAGCTTGAAAATATAAATCTGTAACACTGTATGATGAATTATGTTTAAAGGATTTTTCTTCAAAAAATAAAATAAGAAGTTTGTTTCTTTTTTGCTAAACTTTCTGGGATAGACAAACGCACTACAAAGTAAGTCCACCCGGAAGAGGACGCGTACAACATGTAATATATGGAGCAGGTTAGTAAAACTTAGAAAAGTCACCTGGACGATGGTGACAGACGCTGCGGTAACAATCCCGCAGACAAAACAGCTGATGTAGAGACCCCACTCCAGCACCAGTAGCCCCGCTAACGCCATCATCCAGCAGCAGCTTAGTCCGCGTCTGCAGAGAAAAGAGCTGCCGTGAAGGTAGCAATAAAAAGGCAAACAACTTCCGGTTAGTTCCTTCACAATAAAATACCAAGCCTCCAGCAACCACGATTCGCAAATATTAAGAAGACAGTGAGTTGATTAAAAACATGGCAAGGCTAAGTAGTAAACGTGTCCGGGTTAATCAATAAAAAATACATGAAAATGTTTTCCATTAAGATTAACACGTGTCAGTTGTTTGTTTAAATAGACTGTACTCGTATTTAACCGCAGACTCCTAGAACATTGTGGAAAAAATGAATCAAGAAATAAAGAAATGTCTCATATATTTGTCACGACCTTGCCACACGTCTCAAAAACATGATTTAAAATGTTTTAAGCCTGACTTAACTTACCCGTGTGTTCTTCAGCTGGGTTATATTCTGGAGGTCAAACAGTTTGATTTCCGGTGATATTGTATCTTTTTTATTACCTTCACCCGCAGTCAAACAGTCCAAAGTGAAAATCGTACGTCCAAACTCTCTTCTCGATATTAGTTCGAGCAGCAATAGAAGCTTCCTCGGAGTTTCACCGCAGCGCGTGAATGCGTGAAAAACAGCTTACTTGTCACACGTGGACACTGCTTGTCATACAGGCCCTAGATCGTTTCTCTTCGCTCAATCAGTTGGTTTCATCTGATGACCCAGAAAGATAAACTGAAAGTCTACAGCTAGATATATGTGTTAATTCACTCATGTTAACGCCTATATTTATGCAATAATTATTTTTATTATACGGAAGCAAATACTGCATGTTTGCATTGTCTCAAATATGTAGATGGTTCAAGTTAGTCAAAGTCTGAGCTTCTCGAGGGTTATGAGGTATGAAATGCTAGAGTTAGACACAGTGTGTGTTTGTGTGTGTGTGTGTTGCTTCCTTCCCAGAATGCTTAATGAAACCTTGTGACTTTGTGTCCTGTGACCATGTCATTTTTATATGTCAAACATTTGAAGCCTGTCAGATTCACCTCTGCACTAATAATAAGCTTACTAATTCCTGACACATAGCCAGTGTTACATCATTCAAGGCTGACTAGAAATAACTGTTTTCTGTAATAACACGCCACACAATTTCTAATGATATGTCATTAGAAAGGAGCTTCAAAATTATGAATCAGCGCTGTTAGCTTTCATAGGAATTGTTTATGTGATTTACACCACTGGGTTACAAAAGTAAGTAGAAAAACAAATGGTATGTTGCAGAAGGTAATACAAGACAGAAGGTAATAAACTGATGAATGGATTGATAAATAGAAAGAAGTGAGGATTTTTCACAAATAATTCTTAAATGTGGACAAAGAAAGTCTTGCAAAAATACCAAAATAATACTACTATGTTGAGAATGTAACTTCACTTAACTAGGTGACTGGACTCATTGTTGGGGAAAAAAAAAAAGTAGACATGCCAGTGTGAGTTTGTGTGTGTGTGCTGCTGTCTCAGGAGGCGAGACTAAGTGGTGGGCAGAGCCATCACAAAGTATTAGTGTCAGTGAGCATGTGAAGGTGTTTTTAGATTGAAGCCTTAATGCATGCTGGCACAAATGTTGGACCCCAAGACCCAAACACTAGAAAGCTTCCGTTTGTCTATGTGTGTATCCACAAATCATCACACAAGCCTTGTATCTCTTTAATTCATGATAAGTTTAAACATCAAAATTCACCAAAGTCTGAACGAGGCACAGATCTACAGTAAAGAATACACTATGTACAATATAAAATAGAGGGACATAAAAGATTACAACGCAAAACGGAAATGTAGGAAACATGCACTTGATAACACGTCACGGATAGGTCGAGGCTGTCGGTCGACATTTTCTTGAAGAGAAACCCATCTTTCCTCGAGATAAAAGTCATGATATAGAGCGGAGAGAGTGAAAGTTTCCCCCTTTTGGAAAACAAATGTTGATATATACTGTATATAATTATATATACTTATTGTGCAAGTGAACTATTTAGATTAGCAACACTTTAAAAAGAATTCAAAAACATACGTAAATATATCAGCAATAAGAGCACATCAAGGAAAGAACAAAACATTAATTATACTGTTTTAAATTCAATATAATGTCCCTCTTGAAAGAACAGCTGTTTTGATTTGACTGCATGTACAAAAGCTTGATAATAATTTAATACTGAACAGAGAGATGAGAGGCATACACAAGCAGCAAAAACAAAAAAAAACCCAAAACCCACCGACCAGATCGTGCTGTGAAACAAGATCAACTTCATTTTGAAAATCTTAATCTTTTGAACTTCGGATGAAACGTGACGGTACGATGTTGTTGGAGAGAAAATAAAAATGAAAGATAAAATCCTGATGGAGAAGCCCACACACAAGGCAGCGTTAAAAGGTCATTTCATGATGAACGCCCCCTGAGGGAGGGCAGCCCTGAAATGTTTGAGTGTGATTGTTAAGTACTGTTTGTGCGAGATTGTTAATCATCGCACAGCAACATCGCTGCTTTATATTTAAAATGTTTAGCAGCGATTTTCCGAGTAGGAACACTGCTCATTAGTGATGAAGCCAGAGGAGCCGGTTACCTAATCATAAAAGGTGATGCGCGTTCGGACTGTGTGTCAGAGCGAATCTGAAGCTTTGACTTTTCTGGTTTCCAGCAGTAAGAACAGCATTCTTGCTCAAATTTGGATGTAAAGGTTGTCATTTTTTTTAATGAGACTTTAAAACGTTGTTTTAAACGTAAATATTATTTATGGCAGCATCCTAGAAAGTGGTTCTGGCCCTTAAACCAAACCAACCGGAGATAATTTATCTGAGCGTAACCGCACCTCCAGTTCTCTGTCTATATGTGACCCCCCCCATTGCAACTACAAGCTGTTTGTTCTTGTTTTCTTCACTTCTCATTAGTACAGCGGGATTTGCCCGGCCCACGGGTCACCGTCAGTCCCCTCTGAGGCCTTCTCCAAACCACAGCCTCAATTCATCCTCAAGCCATGTTCCATTATCTACCAGAAATGGTGTCAAACCAAAAATGAGGATGTGGTCCCAGCTAATGAAACAGCAACTGAAAAATCAGCGGGGAAAGCAGTGCTGAATTTGAACCCTAACCCTCTTCAGTGAAACTGAAGCTTACGCCAACAACAGACCTGAAGCGTCTTATCATGTACGTTGGTGCTCTTGGAAACTGGAAGCTTTGCTATGTGACTGACTTTTGCGTCAATGTCCACACTAAAAAAAGAAAAGAGTCAATTTGTTCCCATGAACGTGAAGTTCAAAAATTGTATTTTGTGTCTATTTCACAAAACTACTGTGAGAGTGTGCTTTTAATAATAGCTTTAGATTTCATGCAAGCAGCTGGCTGCTGAAGAATGTTTGGAGAAGGAATTCCTGCTCTGTCCATTTTAATTCAATGGTATGGTCACGTTCCTTGATAAGTGCGGTCACAAGACTGCAGCACTGGGGGATTGCTGTTGAGCCTGTATACAAAACCTGCCTGTCAGTATGAGAAAGTGTATGTATTCCTCTGCAAGTCAGTCGAAATTCTGTAATAGTTCTAAATGATCTTTTGGATGGTTACATATCAGTTTGCGATGTCTGAAATGTACCAGTTTCTGAATGATTTATGCCTTGTTTTAGTCAAATTATGTCTGAGCATGCATTTGTGCACACGGACCAGATAAAAGCTGTGCAATCATTAGCCAACTGGACAACCTGGCAGCCTGAATGCATCTGGTAGAGGACTGTCAAGTTTACAGATAATTTTGTATATTCCTTTCTTCCAGCAGGGGTCGCTGTCTCTCCCCGTCCAAATGGCTGAGTAAAACTCTCTCAGAGCCACTTCAGACACCTCGATGAACCTCTCTGGAACCTGCACACAAAAATATGATGTCAAGGAGGAAATGTTTATTAGGAAGTCTTCTGGAAGAGAAAAATCCATTTTCGCTTTAGTTTAGTATCTGAATCTGTCAGTCACATATCTATCTACCTTATCTAAAGGGATTTAAAACTGAGAAACTTGTGTTTTTCAGAGAATGTGAGGTTTTGATTGTCTCTGTACTTTCTAAAAATCTCATAAGCGTTGTTGAGCAGTGAATAGTTTCACAGGAAGAACATTAGAATACCTGTTATTATAATGTGCATTCAGTGCACCCTCACAGGTGTTTTCACCCACTTTGGTAAAATACAGACTGTGACTTTGATTGTCTCTGATTCCACTGTTTGTCTGAACGCGTCTGTCAAAGCAGACAGCTTTATCACAGCACGTAGAGACTTCTCATTGATTATTGTTAATAAGTGGACCTATTCTTTCGCCGCTATGACGGAAAACACGTTAGAAGCGAACACGATCTATTCACAGCTGAACCGCACATAGCTTTAAGCCGAGCTGAGGCTCAATCAAATAATAAACTCACAAAAATATGTGTAGGCGAGAGTGACTTTTCAGACTCGAGCAACCTTGTGACTTTGTTTTTACGATCACAGAGGTGATTCGGTTTTTCAGCGCTGCCTGAACGTTTCCCGGGATACATTGTAGCCATAGTAGTTTTCGCGTTCTCAATACCTTTTTAAATCCAATGACGTCTGACAAATAACAGATCACCTTGGGTGATAAAATTAATCATCATCTGTAGAATTGGAAACTAATGTGCGATGATTGTTTTATGATAGTGTGTGTCCTTCAGCAGGTCAGTGAGATATAACAGTGCTTCATTTCTGTTTCCTTTTCATGCACAAACTCATACAAGTAAAATAATTTCTCTGCTCACTAAAGGTAATAGCACATTACACGAAATAATAACCCCAAGCTCCAGTGCTTTTCATTTCAGCGGTGTAGTATCTTTTTATTGTATATCTTCATCTTTATGCTATACATGATTTATTGAGGTTTATTTCCTCTTTAGACTTATCGTCTGCTCTGAGCTTACCAATTAATATCAGATCAGGACCTCATTCAGAGTCCAAGCAGCAGTCCAAGCACTTTATTGACCTCTGAAGGACAAAACAGCTTGAGTCTTGCCATCCTCACCTGGTTTGCACAAAGTGGGACTTTTATTTGATTTTCAATAAGAATGGCTCAGTACACGCATTAAATGTTTTTAAGAACTGTTTGCTCAAGAAGGTCAAACAGCTCAGATCAAATGATCTTAACTCAAAGGACCGCTGAGCTTAAGAAAATCAGCAACGGCTTGCGTTAGGCATGTATGTGAACCTTGAAAAGCATTCCAGATGACAATCTATAAAAGACATCAAAAACAGAGTGCAAGTTATCCTTCAATACATGACCCAAGACCGTGACACTGTAGACAGCACTTTAACTTGATTGGTATTTACTTTTAAGCACAGGGGCACTGCATAAAGATCCATAATCCATTAGCGATGTACTTAGGGCTGAGGAGTATTCACATCCCCACCCAAGGACTGAGTCCAGTCGTACAACGGGTAGGCTGAAAGCTGCAACTAGAGCGTCTCCTCACCTGGTAGATGTTGCTTT